CCTTGTTGATCTTTTGCTTAGATGATCTGTCCATTTCAGTGAGGGGGCTGTTAAAGCCCCCCACCATTATTGTATTGTCGATGTGTTTCTTTGCTTTTGTTATTAATTGGCTTATATAAGTGACTGCTCCCATGTTAGGGGCATAGATATTTATAATTGTTAGAACTTCTTGTTGGATAGACCCTTTAAGTATGATATAGTGTCCTTCCTCATTTCTTATTACAGTCTTTGGTTTAAAATCTAATTTGTCTGATATGAGAATTGCCACCCCAGCTTTCTTTTGGTGTCCATTAGCATGGTAAATGGTTTTCCACCCCCTCACTTTCAATCTGGGGGTGTCTTTGGGTCTAAAATGAGTCTCTTGCAGACAGCGTATCGATGGGTCTTGTTTTTTAATCCAATCTGATAGCCTGTGTCTTTTGATTGGGGCATTTAGCCCATTTACATTCAGGGTAACTATTGAAAGATAGGAATTTAGTGCCATTGTATTGCCTGTAAGGTGACTGTTACTGTATATTGTCTGTGTTCCTTTCTGGTCTCTGTTACTTTTAGGCTCTCTCTTTGCTGAGAGGACACCTTTCAATATTTCTTGTAGGGCTGTTTTCATGTTTGCAGATTCCTTTATTTTTTGTTTGTCCTGGAAGCTTTTTTTTTTTTTTAAAGATTTTATTTATTTATTTGAGAGAGAGAATGAGAGACAGAGAGCACGAGAGGGAAGAGGGTCAGAGGGAGAAGCAGACCCCCCGCTGAGCAGGGAGCCCGATGCGGGACTCGATCCCGGGACTCCAGAATCATGACCTGAGCCGAAGGCAGTCACTTAACCAACTGAGCCCCCCAGGCGCCCCTGTCCTGGAAGCTTTTTATCTCACCTATTTTCAATGACAGCCTAGCTGGATATAGTATTCTTGGCTGCATATTTTTTTCGTTTAGTGCTCTGAATATATCATGCCAGTCCTTTCTGGCCTGCCAGGTCTCTGTGGATTGGCTCTGTTGCCAATCTAATGTTTCTACCATTGTAGTTTACAGATCTCTTCTCCTGAGCTGCTTTCAGGATTTTCTCTTTGTCTCTGAGACTCGTAAGTTTTACTATTAGATGTTGGGGTGTTGACCTATTTTTATTGATTTTGTGAGGGGTTCTCTGTGCCTCCTGGATTTTGATGCCTGTTTCCTTCCCCAAATTAAGGAAGTTCTCTGCTATAATTTGCTCCAATATACCTTCTGCCCCTCTCTCTCTTTCTTCTTCTTCTGGGATCCCAATTATTCTAATGTTGTTTCGTCTTACGGTATTGCTTATCTCTCGAATTCTGCCCTCGTGATCCAGTAGTTGTTTTTTTTATTTTATTTTATTTTATTTTTATTTTTTTAAAGATTTTATTTATTTATTTGAGAGAGAGAGAATGAGAGAGAGAGAGCACATGAGAGGGGGGAGGGTCAGAGGGAGAAGCAGGCTCCCTGCCGAGCAGGGAGCCCGATGCGGGACTCGATCCAGGGACTCCAGGATCATGACCTGAGCCGAAGGCAGTCGCTTAACCAACTGAGCCACCCAGGCGCCCGATCCAGTAGTTGTTTATCTTTTTTCCTCAGCTTCTTTATTTTCCATCATTTGGTCTTCTATATCACTAATTCTCTCTTCTGCCTCATTTATCCTAGCAGTTAGAGCCTCCACTTTTGATTGCACCTCATTAAGAGCCTTTTTGATTTTGACTTGGTTAGATTTTAGTTCTTTTATTTCTCCAGAAAGGGTTTCTCTGATAACTTCCATGTATTTTTCAAGCCCAGCTAGTATCTTTAAAATCATCATTCTGAACTCTAGTTCCGACATCTTACTAATGTCCGTATTGATTAGGTCCCTGGCAGTCGGTACTACCTCTTGTTCTTTTTGTTGAGGTGATTTTTTCCATCTTGTCATTTTGTCCAGAGGAATAGATGAATGAGAGAACAAAATGCTAACAGGGTAACAATGGCCCCAGAAAATATACACTAAACAAATCAGAAAAGACCTGAAACCTGGGGAAAAGAAAGGGTAAGGAAGAAAAAAGAAGAAGAAAAGAAAAAAAGAAAAAGATACAAACAAACAAAACAAAACAGAATATGATCAAATATGATCAGGCTGGTGCATAGATCAGTGCCACATACTAGATTTTGGGCATATTTTGGTCTGTTAGAAGAAAGTGCCTCCCAATATAAAAAAAAAGACAAAAATAAGGGTTAATATGATGAAGGGATGGAATATGACTGTAAGGATGAAAATTATAAAAGATTGTATAAAAGGAATTGATAAGATAAGAAGCTGGTTGGGGCGCCTCGGTGGTTCAGTCGTTGAGTGTCTGCCTTCAGCTCAGGTCATGGTTCCAGCGTCCTGGGATTGAGCCCGCATCATGCTCCCTGTTCGGTGGGAAGCCTGCTTCTCCCTCTCCCATTCCCCCTGCTTGTGTTCCCTCTCTCACGTGTCACTGTCAAATAAATAAATAGAATGTTAGGAAAAAAAAAAAAGTTGGTTGAAAAAAGAAAGAAGAGGATTTAAAAAAAAAAAAGGGAGAGAATGTGATCAGGCAGGAGATTACAACAAAGCCATACACTGGAGATTTAGGGTATATTTTGATCTGTTAGAAGATACTGTATTCCAAAATTTTAAAGAGATAACAACTTAAATATTTATACCAAAAATAAGGGTAACTACTATGAAGGGGTACAATATGACTCTAAAAATGAAAAATAAAAAAGATTTTTTTAAAAAAGGGATTGATAAGATGTTGGTTGAAAAAGCGAAAAAGAAAAATTCAAAAAAAAAAAAAGTTAAAAAAAATTAACTTTCAAAGACTGTAAAGAATCATGGGAAAAAAGCCATGAATTCTATGTGCAGTATTCCCCTAGTGCTGGAGTTCTGCTGTTCTCATTGGTGGGTAAACTTGGTCTTGGCTGGCTGTTCTTGCTGATCTTCTGGGGCAGGGGCCTGTTGCCATGGTTCCCAAATGTCTTTGCCAGAGGCGGAATTGCCCTGCCCTTGCCGGTCCGGGCTGAGTAATCTGCTCTGGTTTGCTCTCCAGAGCTTTTGTTCCCTGCAAGCTTTCGGTACAGCTTTGGAGGACTAGAGTGAAAATGGCGGCCTCCCAATCTCTGCCCTGGAGGAGCTGAGAACTTGGGGCCCCACTCCTCAGTGAGCCTCCAGAGCAAAGCAGTCAGTCACTCCCATCTCCCCGGTCTCCAGCCGCGCTCCGTGCTCACTTGGCCTGTGACCCAGTGTTTCTATCTCTGGCACCAGACCCCGTGTGGAGTCTCCAGACCCAGCCGATTCCTGTGGTGAGCTCCCGCACTGCTCCTCCTGGGGGAGGAAGGGGAGTCTCCCCGGATCTGCCGCTTGTTGGGTCCCTGCTGGAAGAGCAGTGGCCTGACTGTGCTGTGGATCACAGTTTATGGCAACCCCGAGCTGAGAGCCCACATCTCGGCTCTGTCTCTGCAGCCGGCTTTCTCACTCCGATGCCTGAGAGCTCTGCCACACTCAGGCACCCCCGGTCTTCCTGTTACCCCGAGGGTCCTGAGACCACACTGTCCCAGCGAGGGTTTCACCCCGCCCCCCCAGCTTAGCCACTGAAGCGATGTCTCTCAGCGGAGCAGACTTCTAAAAGTTCTGATTTTTTGCTCTGCTGCTCTATCACTTGCCAGAAACGGTGAACAAAGGCCCCCTTCCGCGCTGTCTATCCTCCTGAATATCGCCTCGGATTCACTTCTCCGGACGCATGTCCTACCATCCAGAAAGTGGTTGCTTTTCTGTCTGTACCATTTTATATTCCCACTAGTAGTGTACAGGAGTTCCACTTTCTCCTTGCCAACACTTGTTATTTTCCATTTTTCAAAAAATTACAACCATCTTATTAGGTGTGAAGTGGCATCTCATTGTGGTTTGATTTACATTTGAATTTGAACATTTTAAAAGATCTTTTCCAGTGAGAGAGGAAGACAGCTTAATATTACATGAAATGCCTCTTTGTTTGAAAAATCTAGACTAGATCTTTATTTTACCTGCTAAAATAAAGCTACCCTAAAATCACCCTTCACTACACATAGATCCCAATTTTTTAGTCTTTGGTCTCTGCATTCTCCTCCTCTTTATTTCTTTTGAACTCTTTTCTGTTAGCCTACTCTAATTGTTAGGTCTTTACTTTTTACCACCCAATAATTAAGACAGCTGCCTATTCCGTACTTGCTAATTTCCTCTGTCACTCTCCACCATTAATTTTTAAGAATGACCTGTCCTGGGAAGCATTGTAACTATGGTTTCCTGTCTTTTGTTCTTGGCTCCTGATGCTGTGCTGCTTACCATCTGTGTGCTTGAAGGGCTCTGCATTCACAATACATGTTCATGGCTTCCACTGGAAGCTTTGTTTTTTTATCTTGTACGATGCCTTGGTCTTAAATCACAATGCTACATATATGTTTTTATCATTTGGCAAAAACTTCAGAAGAATATATTCAACATTTAAAAATCTTTCAAAAGTTGAAATGAAGCTTGCATTATTCGAAAATAGCTTTTTTTGGTTCAAAAATGGGAAAATGATCATAATGGAGTAATTTGATAGCTCTGAAGAGAAATAGAAATAGTTGAGCTAATTTCATTTTAGCAAGCCTCTGCTCTGTATTATTTTGATTATCTTCATTTATGAATATCCATTTTCCTCTTTTGAATAAACAAGCATTCAGGAGAACTGCTCTGTATGTTAATTTGGCTAGTCCATTCATTTATTCACAAAGGTTTTATTTCTTCCTAGGCCAGCTTGAGAGATCATCCGTGATAAATTTTTCTTTATAGGAAACATGTTTCAAGATGAGCAATATTTTAAAAGTATGTGTATATTGATTTATATCTTATTTATGACTGTCAATAGTTATGCCAGTTATCAGTAATTGTATTTTTTCAGGACTTAAAAAATTTAGATGCATTTTGAGTATAGCTTATTTTTAAAAGTATTTTACTTTCATAGATACCTATTTTATGTTGACAGCTTTTTGACATTCATACCAGTGGCTTATTGGCAGAAATCCCTACAGGCCATCACAGCACCATCCAGTATTGTGACTTCTCCCCGCAAAATCATTTGGCAGTGGTGGCTTTGTCCCAGTGCTGTGTGGAGGTGAGTAGTTCACTTACTCTGTGAGGTTGTACCTCTGCCAAGAATGGGCTACTTAAACCATTAACTACTGAGAATGTTTGAGAAATAGTAGAGCATTTTCTTCACAGCATAATGACCTATAGCTTTAGGATATTAAACTATATAGCCAGCCTTATTACTTTAGCAGTGATTGAAGATTTGATTTGATAGTATGACAGGGAATGACAGTATCATTCAGCAAGTATTTGTTGAATGCCTAGCATGTGCCAAGGTCTGGGGAAACAGTGGAATGAACACTGGTTTCCTAGGCAGAAACATGGCATCTCTTAAACAATATGAAAGACAGGATCTTCTATAAAAGAAAGGATGAGAGATGAGTCCAGTTCAGATTTCTTAGATCACTGAGAAGAAGACAAAAGTTAATTTAGAATTGGTTAACCTAGGATGTTCATTGGTGAGCACTAATGAGTAAAATGACTCTTAAAAATTGCCTGTTAATATTTATAATTTTGTACTTACCTGATAGATTTTATATTCAGAATCTATACCTGACTGGTCCTGGAAGAATTTCACCCAGTGAATGGCTATATTAAGTTTTTTCAAAAAGCAGTGAACTGATGGGTTTTTTTTTCCAAAGATGGATTAGTTTTTCCAAGCTTTATTACTACTTATTCCTTGAGTGGGTCTTACCATCAGGTAGTTTGAAGTTCCTTGTGGTGACAGTCCAAGAAGGTGGGTATGGCCTTTATCTGGAAAATAGAGAAATCAACTTGGTTCACAGGCTCTCCTCAAAGGAAGCTTGACTACTGCAAGCACTTCTTTAGTGTTCCGTGCTTATTTCAGCAATTTTTAGCGAGTTTGACAACTTTGTTCCTTACTGCAGAGCTGTTGGGGGAGAGTTTCTGAGCTGTAGTCCGTCAGCATGGAGATAAGATGAGAGTGGGTGTGCTCTGTAATCTCTACTCAATTACAAGTACAGAAGCAAGTACAGTGCAACTAACACTGAAGAACTTCCCTGCCAAGAATCTACCCATCGGAAGCATAGGCATTAAGTGTGAACAAGCTCCAGTCCTGTTTGAAATGGTGGGAAGAAGTAGAGTGCTGTGGGCAGTGTTCTCTTCAGGGGAGTCCTTGATTTGAAAGTTTCAGATGTGGTAGGAGATCTTATCTATAGATCCTCAAGGCAGATGTTGGAAATTTCCTCTTTCTGGGTTTTTGTCAGGATTTTAAGGAGTGTTGCTTCTCCCCTAGTGCTCCTCCTAGTGGAGGAAGAACTCTTCTTTCAGCCTTTCCTGTCACTTCTACAATCCCGACCCTATGCTATTAGAAAGCTCCAGGAAACATTGTCTTTTTTCTTAAAATAGGGACCTGGTTTTGGGGGCTCTGAGAAATGATGGGAAAGAACAAGAAGGAAAAAGGGAAGGATTTTCAAGGGAGATTTTTTAGTTATAGAACCACTTTCGTTTCTGGCTTTTAGCTCTATGTGTCCACAGGAACTTGGACTCTAGCAATAAGGCAAAGAAAATGTCATACAATTAATTTATAACCATAGAACTCACTGATTGAAAACCACTGGGCATGTGATGAAGTACTTGTTTTCTCCATGCTTGTTCTGAAATCATAAAGTAGGTCTGTCATTCAGAGTGTAATGAGAGGAACTCAGGCACATATGGTACTTCATTAGACTGGAATATATTTGAGTAATTTACAGCAGGGACAAAATACAGCCAGGGTGGCAGACATTGACAATTCGTAATAAGCATGAATAACAGAAATGTGTACCTGTACAATTAGCATATTCATTTATTGTAGGGTTTTGCCATTTGTTGAAACAAGGATTAGATGACAGTGGAAAATAGTCTATTTTTTTTATTTAAAAAAATTAAATGTTTGCATGATTCTAAATCAAAGCTTTTTTTAAAAAAGTTTTATTTTTATTTTTTTAAGATTTTTTTTTTATTTGTCAGAGAGAGAGACAGAGACAGCACAAGCAGGGGGAGCGGTAGGCAGAAGGAGAAGCAGGCTGTCTGCTGAGCAGGAAGCCTGATGCGGGACTCGATCCCAGGACCCTGGGATCATGACCTTAGCCAAGGTAGATGCTTAACCGGCTGAGCCACCCAGGCGCCCTTTTATACTCTTCTGTAGAAATATATATGCTCTTTGCTTATTTTCTGTAAACAATATATCCCAGTGACTAGTCATTATCTGGGTGTTTTTACAGTTATATAATATTCCATTATGTAGTTTATTCAGTCAGTTCCCTGTTGATGGTCATTTGGGTTGTTTCTAGTTCTTTTGATATTAAAGATAAGATGCAATGAATAATCTTTTGCACAAGTCATTCTGTATTTTTGCTAGCTTGTTTTTGGCCTATATTCATAGAAGTGAAATTACTGGTTTACTTTTGCTATTTTTAATATTCTTGATATGTTCAAAATGCTTAAGAATGTGATTTCCTGTATGCTATGTTTATTCTGTAGTTGTGGAATATGGATTCGTATTTAAAAGTGGCTGATTGCAGAGGACATTTAAGTTGGGTTCATTGTGTGATGTTTTCTCCTGATGGATCATCATTTTTGACATCTTCTGATGACCAGACAATCAGGGTGAGAAATATTAAGATTTTCATTTAGACATTTGTTGATGTCTACATCTAACAAACTAAGAAATTGATGAGCAGTATTGGGGGAATTAAAACAAGAAACTACTAGATTAATATTTATCCTTGAAAAGTGCTGTTATATGGACTGTAACAGTCTCATTCATCCCATACATGTTCACTGAGTATTACCACGAGCCAGGTGCTAGAGAAGTACAATGATTAAACTGTATTTTGGTTAATTTAAATATTTACTAGGTAATATATTGACTTAATTTTTGACTCTTTTCTCCACTTTAAATTTCCATATCTAATTACTTGCCAATTGTAATGGATTCTGCCTTTCCATTTTCTGTCATTTATTTCTACTATTTATTTATTTATTTATTTATTTAAGAGGGGGTAGAGAGAGAGAGGTAGGGGGCGGGGAAGAAAAGAGGGAGAGGAAGAGAGAGACTCTTAAGCAGCCTCCACGCCCAGTGCAAGTCCATTGCAAGCCCATCTCACAACCCTGAGAGCATGACCTGAGCTGAAATCAAGAGTCAGACACTTAACCAACTGAGCCACCAGGTGCCCCTATTTCTACTTTTTCATTTCAAGTTTAGGTGCTCATTACATGTTGCCTCTCTCTCTCTTTTTTTTAAGATTTTATTATTTTTAAGTAATCTCTGCGCCCAACATGGGGCTCGAACTCACAGTCCAGAGATCCAGAGCCACACACTGTACTGACTAAGCCAGCTAGGCACCTCAGCATGTTCCCTCTCTTAATGTATTAGTCTTTGCCACAGTCTTTTCTTTTTTGGTTTTCTACATGCTGCTTCTAAGATATTGTCTTCGTGTACAATATAGTCATGTCGTTTTTGCTCAAAAACAGATAGGGTTCCCTTGTCTACTAAAAATAAGTAGGTACTCCTAAATTTACACTGAACTTCTCCACAGTATGGCCTCATTCTGGCTTCAGTCTTTCTTTTGGTTTATTCCTACAGGTAGCCTACAATGGACTGCTCACATTTTCCCAATACCCTGTAGTTCCCTGCTTCTTTTGCTTATGTGGTCTCTTATGTTTGGAATACCCTGTTTCCCTGTCTCTCTTCTTGTTGAAATGTTAACAATCCTACAAGTTCCCCCAAGTCTTCTGCAAAGCTCTTCCTAATATTCCATTTGGGGGAATGTCTTTCTTCTTTAATGTCATATAACTCTGTGTCCTTTTCTTATGGTACTTACCAAATTCTACTTTGAATTTAAGTACAGATTTCTTTACTTCTCACCTTCAGTACTCCACTGCTCCTCCAGCTTGTTCACATGTCTTCAATTGTAAGGTCTGTGAGGCCAGGGACCCGAGTTTATCCCTGTGGCATCTAATATAGTGTTTTATACACAATGTAACTACAGTTTTTTTTAGTGTTTACTGTATGCTAGACATTGTGTGAAGTACTGTACTTATGTTTTCTAATTCTCACAGCAGTCCTTTTGTCAGCTGAGGAAACAGTCACAGGAAGGTTATGTCACTTCTGCTTAAAGTGCCAGTCTCAATAAATGAACCAGAATGTAATTCATCTCACTGCTTCCTTCATCAAGAAAGTCTTGTTAAAAAAAGATGAATCATATCACTAAGCATACGGCTTATAGTTTGTTAGTGATATAGTTGATTTACATTCTGGTACAGACTCCTTATCTTGGCATCAGACAGTTTGAGGACTAGTAGGAGTTCTTACTTTGAATAACACTGGGTTAAGTAACCTGCCCAAAGTCACAACTTTAGGTGGAACTAGAGTTCATACTTGGGCATTTTGGCTCTAGCACCCATTACTCTTAATACTAACTACTACTCATTATAGCATGTAATTAACAAATATTTGTTGTTGAATTATAATCTAATAATTGAAAATTTTTAGCATCATAGGTATTTTGAGTATGAAGCATGTTTTGTATCTTGCTTTAAGACTCTAAGCCTTCTCTTTACATATTTCAGGATATGGTTATCTTATTTTAGTTTTTTTAATCTCTTAATTAGCTCTGGGAGACAAAAAAAGTATGTAAGAATTCTGCTATTGTGTTAAAGCAAGAAATAGATGTTGTGTTTCAAGAAAATGAAGTGACGGTTCTTGCAGTTGACAATATAAAACGTCTGCAGGTGAGTATTTTTTAGAAAACAATGGGAAAAATTGTTTTGATTGAACTCACCATTCACATTTTTCTTGTTTGGTTTTGAACTTGGGATCAGGCATAATTGTGTAGTATCTAACAGGTGCTCAGTAGGCATCAGTTGAATAAATATGTGGGTTTTGAGCTGAGGTCCAAATATGCTTGTATTTAGAAGTAAAAAAAAGTGATACCTTGTCTCACTTCATTCCTCTCCTGTTGGTATCTATGATCACATTCCTTGATTTGCATAGAGTCCAGGAGGAGAACTTGAGACAGACTGAGGGCAGGACAAAGCTTAACAAGCTCTAAAGCTGTAAAGCTCAGCTTGATGTGGTGGAAAGAACAGTGTCTGTTCACTCAGGAGGTACAGGTACAGCTTAAGTTTTACTGTCAGCTCGTTTTATATGATGTTTGAGTAAATTGTACACTTCTCTGAGCCTCACTTTCTTCACCTGTAAGGTCCTTTCTATGTTCAGCAGTCTGACCTGGTTATAGGGTGAAGGTGGAATCCAAATTCTGGAGACAGATATGTGGAAGTAAACGGTCTATGGCATGTGGTTATTTCTCCTTGTCTACTGTCAGGGGTCAGAGTCAAGGTGTGAGACACCCCTTGTTCTGTATTTTACACGTTGTACTATCGTCTTTAGTATGTTGATGTCGAGCTCCTAATGCCCTGTGTTTCTGGGATGAATTGGGATATGGAATTGAATGTTAATGCCTTGTTACTGATTTTTAGCAGACTTGGGATATTTTTCATTGCAGCTTTCTTGTCAAGTTCAGTGTCCTCATGCTTGTATTACCTTTATTAAATTTGTGCAACCTTTCTTTAATAGTTGTTGTAACTGTGAGACTTCAAAAAGAAGTCTTCTGACTATAAAAGTGTCATTCTATATCAATGATTGTGGGAGAGTTTAGGGGATAGTTATAAACTTGACAATAGTTCCATTTAAGTGAACAAAACATTTTTTAGTCACTACTTAGGAAAATATGGAAATTGATTTTTGAGAGAAAGAAGATAAATTCCGCTTTTAGCAGTTCAGTCTTCATTTTGAATGTCTAATAGATAAGAATCTGCTGGGTAAGATATTGTAAAATAAAGCGTACCTTGATTGATACCCTATAATCTTTGTACCTGAAACAGATATGACTTCTTATTTGATGTTGAAAAATGATTTAAGACTTTTAGATTGTAACAGAGAGAGGTAGCTGACAATTGATTTAAGCTTGAGATGTAGTTTCCTGGGTCACATGTTTTAATCGGGTGATGAGACAACTTTACTAATGAAACGTAAAAAAATAATTATTAGCATTGGTACATATTATGAAATTAGGTAATCTTAGTTTAAGCATTATAAGTCCAGTCACCCAAATTATGCTTATGGGTTCTTCCCCAGAACTCCCTTCTCCCCCACTCAAAAAGATAAAGAATTTTAATTTATACTGTTTTGTGAGCGATTTAGAGGATATAAAACCCATTTTTATTTGAATATGGCTTTTTATGTATCCTCAGTCCCGTTTCACTAGCCCCCTTGAAAAATATCCGAAAAGTGTACTTTAACAAACGATAGCCCTATTAAAATGGGCTTTGTGAAGAAATGGAAAACTGGGTGCGGAGCTAGCTGTGGGATTATAAATCAGACAGATGTGTCTCAGGTGGTGGGCACAGTAGCTGCTTTTTAAACCTTTTAAAGCTCATTTTATTTTATGAAAATGTATTTGAACTACAAAAGTGAAATGAAATGAAGGCGTGAAGTGCTAAATGCAGCTCTGAGACTAAGATAGGGCTTTGTTGTTCCCCTGGGAGCTCTTGTTGGTTATTTTCTGTTTCATTTCATTTTTTCAATTGAAGTCTGTTCTAAAGAACAGAAATTGCTCTTGTAGCCTAATAACTGATTGTGCCTTATTTTTCATTAGCTCATTAATGGCAAAACAGGTCAGATTGATTATCTGACTGAAGCTCAAGTTAGTTGCTGTTGCCTAAGTCCACATCTTCAGTACATTGCATTTGGAGGTGAAGATGGAGCCATTGAGGTATTCCATTCTAGTCTTCAGAGTCCTTCTGTGCAGAAGAGTTATTTATTTAAAATTAATTATGTTGTCTGGTATTTTAGCTTATACTAAAGAAATCTTTCTGTGGTATATTAGTCATTCTTCTGTTAGACTAAAATTAATCTTACAGTCCTGTTGGTGGTATATTTTTCAAATTGCCTTTACTACTGTTGCTCAGACTTTTTGTCTTTTTGTGTTCTTATTCTCTACCTAGTTGTTTTGCTGTTCTCCAAGTGTATCAAACACTCTCAGAGATTTAGCTATCTGTGCAAAGAGCACTATTTTCTCTCCCTAGCCTTTGGTGTAAGTTTCCATTTTGGTACTGATAAGGTTCATTGGGAATGTCTGTGCAGGATTGCCTTATGCTTACCTGTTTCACCAACCCTTTCTGTTCTACTTTTGGTATTAGAAGTATACCTTTTTACCACTTGAAATCCTTAACTTATTAAAGAAGACCAAATAAATGTTAACAATGTAATAAAAATGATTTTATCACAAAAGCACTTTGTTTTTAGCTGTACAATAGTTTTTCAAAGAACGTTGGTTCCTTCTCTCACTTTTTCTCACCCAAACTTTTTGGAATTATTTCTTAATTTATTAATTGTGGCACTAGCCACATTTACTTTACAAGGAAATACACAAATATTCTCTAGTCTATATTGCTCCACAAAGAGGAGACTATATGTTTATACACAAAGTGAAGAAGGAAGCATTTAGAAGGTGATGTCAATGTTATTATATATTTGGGCGTTGTGGCATGGGTTCAGAGTTAAGGTTTTGTGTTTTTTGTTATTTTCATTGTGAAAAATTGTGAAGTTGGGTGCTGTTCTGAAGAAAAGTATATTGTGGATTTTTTAAAGCAAGGGATGGTTATACATTTACGAGTGAACCTTAGTCTTCCCTCTCAATCTCACCTCTCAAACTGGTGTATATTATTATTGATTCTTACAGGATCTTTGCTTCCCCCTTTTCTTTTTACCTTGTTGCCAAAACAGGTCTACATTCTTTTTGTTTTTACTGTTTTGAAATGGGCCATACAGATAGTTTAAGGAAATAATTCACAAAACACACATGTGCCTCATCCATATCCCTGTCCTCCTCAAAGTCATCAAATGATATAAATACTATATAAATGAATCATATGAGATTACCAGTATTTGACTCTGTATAATCTGTAAAATGGCATTTTCATGTGGTTGGGCCTCGTATCAAATAATGACAGCTACCATTTTTGGGTGTTTATCAGTTTCTCTCATGGAATTATTTTAACACCCTGGATGTTAGATGTTGTTACTCCTGTTTTACAGATGTCTAAACTCCTAGTTTCCACAACTTTCATTAAGTCAGTAAGTGGCAGAGCTACAAATCAAACCCTGGGTCTCTGAGCCACTGTGCTCAACTAGGATGCTAGCCTGCCTTTGCCCTGTAGCAGTTGTAAGATTGTCCTGCTCAATGGGGAAGGCTCTCACTCATTTCCCTTTGCTTTCTAAAGGGCCTTTTATTAGACATGCAGGTTAGGTTTGAATTTCTACAATGTCCTATTTTAGCATCATTTGTATTTTCCTTAGGCTTCCTTGAGTACATTTAATTTGGGCAAAAGAACTTTTTTTGTTTTGTTTTGGTGAGTTCACTTGAAAGCCTTTTTGACATAGTCATTAGTTTTTGAGTTCTGTTACCACTTTCTTAATCTCTGCATTTGGCATATTAGTCTTTATTTAATTAATTAATTAATTAATTAATATATGTACGTATTTGACAGAAAGAGACACGGCGAGAGAGGGAACACAAGCAGGGGGAGGGGGGAGAGGGAGAAACAGGCTTCCTGCGGAGCAGGGAGCCCGATGTGGGGCTTGATCCCAGGACCCTGGGATCATGATCTGAGCTGAAGGCAGATGCTTAACGACTGAGCCACCCAGGCACTCCGCCCCCCTGGCATATTAGTCTTTAGCCCTTATAAGTATTCTCAGTGTACCTCCCCAGCCTATTCATATCTTCTTTTCTGTTACCTGTTTCCCTCATTACCCCCTATCTTTCCTTGTCTGTGTTGTTTTATAAAGAGCTTGCCTTGTCTCTCATCCAGAATTTTTTTCTTTCTTCTCTCTAATCCATCTTAAATGTCATTTCCTTTTTGGAGGCTGAGTCCAGGCTGCCACTTGTTTGATGAATTGGGTAGTTGAGTTCTCAGAAGGACCACTGGTTCCTACTGCTATCTGGTCATTCCAGTGAGTGTTTTATTTTAGCGTGTGTATGTGTGTGTGTGTGCATACACTTGTGTGTATGTATGTACCATTCATTTGTGTGTCTTTAATTAAAATGAAAGCACTATGAGATGAAAATTTTATACCCTTCTGTAGTCTAATTTTAATTTAATGTCTTTGGGGTGTAATGCCTGGGTGTTGCTGAATTTCTTGGTACTAATTTTCTGTGCTTTTCTATTTTGAAGATTTTAGAGCTCCTAAACAACAGAATCTTCCAATCCAGGATTGGGCACAAGAAAACTGTGCGGCACATCCAGTTCACAGATGATGGGAAGACTCTTATTTCAAGCTCTGATGATTCTTCAATTCAGGTGAGGGGAAGGATTAACTTCCAACATCTGTAATGCTGACTCTAGCAAGGAACACTTTGGTTGTGGCTCAAATCTGGTGTGCATTTTAAACATTTCTTTAAGATCCTATTACTTTGGCCATACATTCAGATTATGCACATAGATTTAGATGAAACCCATACATGTTTCATATTTTTCTGTGGGTGAGGCAGACAATTTGACTTGTGAACAAACCCTCTACTGGAAGGTTGTTTATTTTGAAGATCAAGGAATCATTTGAGTTCCCCTGCCTGCCTTGGTATTTGGATTTGTATCAGTAAATATACTTTTTTTGCCAAATTTATATGATTTCTCTTTACTTTTCTTGATAGTAGTAAAATCTGATTGAAATAATTTTTTTTTTTTTTAAGAGAGAGCGAGAGTGCATGCATGCTAGCAGGGGAGGGGCAAAAGGGGTGGGAGAGAGAGAATCCCAAGCAGGCTCCACACTGAGCACAGAGCCCATCTCAGTGCTTGATCTCATGATCCTGAGATCATGACCTGAGCCAAAATCAAGAGTCGGATGCTTAACCGACTGAGACACCCAGGGGCCCCGCTGATTGAAATAATTTTATTCTTTTAAGGATAAGATGTTAATTATAGGGATGAAATCTGTGAAAAAAGAATAGTTTGTCATAATGAAGGATTATGGATATAGAGGCATTAAGCCTACTATATGTTCTTGAAAAATTAACTTTGTTTTTATCAAAGTTCCAATGCACATACTTTTAAAACTTAGGTAGTATTACAAAGCTCATTATGGAAAATAGACCCCCCCCATTACTCATTCTCCAGAAGCACCTCTTTTAGCTTCTAGATATTTCTTTTGATATTTACCTTCATGCCCCCATATCCCATGCTTATAATGTTACTAATTTCTATGTTTGAAAATTTACTAAAAATTAAGATGAACATATTAAGATGAAAATTTAGCTTTTTTTCTTTTCCCACCTGTGTTACCTTTGACATATGCACACACCCTTTTATCAATCCCATTATCCTAATACAATTATAATAAAATTTTGTTGAGGTCATTAGTGTCATTATAACTAAGTAGACTAAGTATACTATGAATGTGTTTTCTGCCTTAATGCAGTTTAGGACAGTTCTACCCTTGACTGGATGTGGTTTGCAATTATTTTACCCTAAAACTTTGAAGACTTTGTTCCATTTTCTCCCAGGGTTCCAAAGCTCATATTGAGAAGTCTGAAGCCATTCTGATTCCTAATCTTTTTCTCTGGAAGATTTTAGGATCTTCTCTTTATTCCTAGAATTTTGAAATTTCATGATGTTGTATCTTGGTGTGTATTTGTTTTATCCATTGTTTTAGACATTCATGATCCCTTCTCAGTTTGGAAACATAACATTTTTCAATTCAAATAAACTTGAATTTTTTTCTTTGCTCCCTCTCCATCCCAGTATGCTTTCTTTTTCTGTAAAAACCATTATTCAGATATTGGATCTCCTGGACTTTTCATGTAATTTCCTTTTTCTACATTTCATAATTTTATTTTTATTTATTTATTTATATATTTTTAAAGATTTTATTTATTTATTTGACAGAGAGAGAGACAGCGAGAGAGGGAACACAAGCAGGGGGAGTGGAAGAGGGAGAAGCAGGCTTCCCGCCGAGCAGGGAGCCTGATGTGGGGCTTGATCCCAGGACCCTGGAACCATGACCTGAGCCAAAGGCAGACACTTAACAGCTGAGCCACCCAGGCGCTCCAACATTTCATCATTTTAAGCTGTGCTCTATTTTCTGGGAGTTTTCTTCAGCTTTCTCTTCCAGCCCTTTCATGGAGCTTTTCATTCTACCATTTATTTATGTATATATGTATGTATGTATTTATTGAGAGAGTACGCAAACTGCAGAAGGAGAGGGAGAGAGAGAATTTTAAGCAGGCTCCACACTCAGTGCAGAGCCCGACACAGGGCTCAATCCCACAATCCTGAGATCATGACCTCAGTCAAAATCAAGGGTTGGACACTTAACCAACTGAGACACCCGGGCGGCCCTCATTTCTACTATTTTTAATGCTGAAGAGTCCATTCATATTCCTTTTTTTTTTTTTTTTAAGATTTTTATTTATTCATTTGACAGAGAGAGAGATAGCGAGAGCAGGAACACAAGCGGGGGAGTGGGAGAGAGAGAAGCAGGCTTCCCGCTGAGCAGAGAACCAGATGCGGGGATCATGACCTGAGCCAAAGGCAGACGCTTAACGACTGAGCCACCCAGGTGCCCCCCCATTCTTATTCCTTTTGAAGAACATTGTGTTCTTGTTTCATGGATGTGATATCTTCTCTGAGAATGGATGGATATAAAAATAATATATAAATTATATATAAATAATTTTTTCCTCAAAATGTAATTTTCATGCATAGTTGCTATTTCTTCCAAGGTGTTTTTTTCTGTGTGGTTGTTTTGGCCTCTTGTTTTAAAGGTCTTCCTCAGCTGTGTGGTGATCACTTTTAGTGTGGACACTAGAAGGCTGATTGAAAGCTCTGTGTGTTTACTGAGACCTTTTCTGGAAAACGATCTGGATGGGGAATCTTTGCTGTCAGTATCTTTAGGTCTTTTGTCCTGGTCTTGTCAGATTCCTAGAGAGGAATCTTCTGGTCTTTCTGCCAGGAGGTTATAAATCTGGCTGACAGGTTCTTAGAGCTAAGTGGGGAAGAGAACTAAGGATAGGTGTAGTGTCTCCTTATTTATTTATTTTATTTTTTAATTTTATTTTTTATTTTTTTAAAGATTTTATTTATTTGACAGAGACACAGCAAGAGAGGGAACACAAGCAGGGAAAGTGGGAGAGGGAGAAGCCGGTTTCACCCGCTGAGCAAGGAGCCCGATGCGGGGCTCGATCCCAGGATCCTGGGGTCATGACCTGAGCCGAAGGCAGAGGCTAAATGGCTGAACCACCCAGGTGCCCCAGTGTCTCCTTTTTTAGTGTGTAAACCTTCATTTGACCCCCTATTCTCAAAACTGTAATTCTTTCCTCAGTTGTGTTGGTGCCCTTTAATTCAGTCTTCTTTCTGGTTTGCTCTCATTGTTTGGAGGAACATTTTCTGCACTTTACTCTTTTCTCATAGTAACTTTGTATTCATTGACTGGTCTTTCCTTTTTCACACAATATTAGTTTTCTTGAACTCCTTGGAGTGGGAAAGGCCAACATTTCTAGCTTTGTAGCTCTCCAGTTCCTCCTTCTGTTTTCAGAGAGCATTAAAATACGGCCTTGTTCTTATGATATTGCTTTGCCCTGTTTCCTTCTTTTATTTTTATTTAGACCTTCTCTTTCCTTTGCTGCCATTAGCCTGTTCTACTCAATTTGGATTTTATTCCCAGCAGTTTCTGCTCATTATTACAGGATTGTTCTGGTTAATTTTGAGAGTTCATAGGTCCCAGACTGGTCTAGCCCTTCCAGACTGTACTGTAGTTGCTTTGACTCCGAGTCTGTTGCTGCTCTCCCGTTGGTCCACCGCACTTCCCAGTGAATGTCACTTGGCTGTTTTGGAATTCTCTTGTTTTTAGTTCTGTCAGACTCTCCATGCTGTTCTCTGCTTCTTCCCATATAGATACTGGGATGCAAGTCTTGCAGCTCTCAGTTTGTCCCTACTCAGTTGTATCTTGGGGTTTGTGGGGATACTTCATCAGTATCAACAACATGGTCTTGTTGTCTCTGCGTTTTTGGTTTTGCTATTTTAATTTCTTTGTCTGCTTTTAATAGAGGCTTCAGGGAAATTAAAAAAAACTATGCCTGCATGGTTGCCATCTTCCCATAATTCCTAATAGTTCCAGTCCTCGCCTCACCCTCACTCCCACCTCTGATGTCCTCAGTGACCTCAGTTTCTGAGCATTTAGTGAGTTCTCTAGTGTCAGTTTTGTTGCTTTTGTCTTTCTGTAATGCTTTTAGGATTCTATTTTCTTGGTCTGTTAAGTCATTTACCATTCTGCTTTTTGGACTCCAGCATTTTTTTGTTTTTAAGGATTTTATTTATTTACTTGTCAGAGAACACACAGGTGCACACAAACACAAGCAGGGGGCATGGCTGGCAGAGGGGGAGAAGCAGGCTCCCCGCTGAGCAGGGAGCCTGATGCGGGACTCGATCCCAGGACCCTGGGATCATGACCTGAGCTGAAGGCAGATGCTTAACTGACTGAGCCAGCCAGGTGTCCCAGGCTTCAACATTTTGTTGTCTTCATTCCCATTCTCTTGACTTTGTCATTGTAGTAGGGTTTTAGAAGTGAAGGAGATATAAATGCATATGTTCAACAGAAGTTAATGTGTGTTCTTTTATTTAATATATCTGTGTGTCTGTGTATTTCCTATCGTAGCAATATTTATAGTATTAAAAACTGTTTAGACAGGGCACCTGGCTGACTCAGAAGAGCATGCAACTCTTGATCTTGGGGTTATGAATTCAGGCCCCACATTGAGGGGAGAGATTACTTAAATAAATGTTAAAAAAAAAACTATTTTGAAAAAATCTTTTTATGTTATATCTTTGTGAGTTCTGTATGATTGGAATGAAATTTGGTTTCAGTGCAGACTCCCATGATACTGGTGTATTAGCTATGAAACTCAGCTTGATTTTCACCTTTCTTCCTCTCCAGATGGCTTTGAAATGGGTAAAACTAAACTACATCTGATGGAATTCTGCTGAGACATTGTATACTGTATAGTTTTTCTGTCAGAAGCTAAATTCGTAGGTTTAATGACCTGCTTGAACATCAAATATTCTCAGCCAGGGGGAGAATAATTTCTAGGAATATTTTTAGGATCGGAGTTAGATTATTTTTAGAAATATGAGTTAAGTGGTGTTTCATTCTTTTTTTCTGCTATACCCAGAATACTTCTTACATTTAAAATGTTTTAATGACTATAATTCATGTAATAAAACTCTTGGTGGGGGGGCACCTGGGTGGCTCAGTTGGTTAAGCGACTGCCTTCAGCTCAGGTCATGATCCTGGAGTCCTGGGATTGAGTCCTGCATCGGGCTCCCTGCTCAGCAGGGAGTCTGCTTCTCCCTCTGACCCTGCCCCCTCTCGTGTGCTCTCTCTCTCTCATTCTCTCTCTCAAATAAATAAATAAAATCTTAAAAAAAAAACAAACAAAAAAACTCTTGGTGGGTATTTCCAAGAATTGACTGGTTGGGTTTTTGTTTTAATTTTTTAGTAAATAATTAATTGGAAATTTGTCTCCGCCCTGCCCCCCCACAGCTTTGAGGTGTGACAAAAATGTATATATGTTTTAGATGTACATGATGATTTGATATGATAGGTACACATTGTGAAATAATTACAGTGATTAAGTTAATTAACAAATCTACACTTATGTCACATAGTTACCATTTTGGAGGTTTATTTTACTCATCTTTGTATCTCCAGCATGCCTGGCTGGAATTTAATAGGAGTTCAGTAAATCTGTTGAGCTGAACTAAAGTTAATGCCAAGATTTGTAAAATCAACTCACCTGCTTATAGCACCTAGAGTTGTGAAAATTGAGGTCTACTTTTGGTAGTTTTTGATCCTTTCTCTTGAGATAAATAAAGCCCAAGTAATAGCCGTGTTCACCTGAGCCAATGTATGAGAATATATTGACTCTCGCAGGTATAAGAAGATTCTTCAGGATTTTTAAAATTTAAATTTTGCTGTTTATACCGCTGAAAAAATTCCATAGTGCATATATATTGCAAAAATTATAGCTAATGGTAGAAACATCCCCAAACTCAACCTTAATACATTTGGCTAATGCTGGTGAAAGTTCAGCTGTTATGTAAGGTGATTCCACTAGTACAGTGTGTTTGAGTCCTGTCATCACTGCCTTATCAGAAAGCTTCTGCAACAAAAACTGTTAAGGCTACTCTTAATCTTCCCGTAGTGATTGTTAAATTTTGTATTCCATCGACTCAGGAACGCTCCCTGGCTTCTTGATGTGAAGGGCAGCAGTAAGAACCTAAGTCAGGATTGAACACTGAATCAGACACAGCTGGGAATGACAGTGCTGGTCACTCAGGAAGAGCTGTTAATAGTAGCCACTGATTCTCTAGTCCAGTAAAGCCAGAAAGTAGGAGAGAGCCAGAAAGTTCCTAGAGGAAATGGTGTAGGGTATTTTATGTTTAGTCACACTGAGTGCCTTTCCTTTCTGATATGATATGGGGAGGCAGAAAGCCTCTGTTTCTTCCCCTTCCCCCAGCATGTCTCTTTGAGTTCTTAAAATGCTGAAATTCCTAATTCATTCTCTTTAAAGCTCCTCTCACTTCCAGCTCCTTTTCTAGGATCCCCTTGTCCTCATACAGATACCCTGCTCCTAATATCCCACTTCTGTGAATGAGCACTTGGAGACAGAGAGAGAGATCTGAGAGCCAGGGCTCAGTGGGGAGGGTGGCTGCTAAGTGTGGAGCATAAAGGAGTAAAGAAAGGGGATAAGAGAAGTGTCATTTCTTTTACAGTTTGCTTAAAAACATTTCTAATGTTGAACCTTCACCAGTCAAAGACTTGACCCAGAATATCACTAATGTGCATACCTGTGGTGGTTGCTGATTTTTCTTTATCTTTTTATTCCTGATGTTAAAAAGTAGAAGAAAATTCTGTTCCAGTCTGCCTGATTTCCCACAGCTCAGAAACTCAGCTTCATCAGGCCCACTGGGCTTTTTTTTTTTTTTTTTTTTTAATATCTTCCCAAACTTTTTTCCCTGGGTTTCTTTTACATATCCTGTATTTCAGCCAGATTGAACTATGAACCAGTCCCCATAATCTTGACATGTTTTCCTGTTGCTGTGCTTTAACTCAAGCATTCATTTCCTTTATTTGAAATGCCCTTCTCAGGTTGTGAATCATACTTCCAGCCCATACCTCAAGTCTACTTTGAATGTACTGTCTCCATCATTTCAATTTCTTCTCCTCCCCTGTGCCTGAGGAATTCTTCCTGGAGCTTCATGTGAAAAACAATGTACTATATCACTTCTTTTGTCAATTTGAGGATTGCATTAGGGAATAGCTAATAGCTAAGATCTCTGAAACTTAGAAATTCCATGACTTGGTTTGAAGCTGCTCTGGTCACCCTGACCTTCCCTGGCAGGAGGGCCAGTACGATTCAATGGTTTCAGTGGAACTAGAATCTTCAGTCTTGGCCTAGCTTGTGGGGCTTAGGAAATTGAATATGTAATAGGGATAATTTTCTCTGGAAAATTTAATCAGATGGTGAGCTCACTAGCATATTGTGGCTTTTCTCTATCTTCTATTATCATTAACTGCTCTCCAAGCAAGTGAAGAAAATGAATTTTATTTAGGAGGAAAAGTATTTTATTTTACTCCTGGTCAAGGTAATTAATCCCAGCTTTTCTTCTCTTTATAAAATGGGAATACTGTATTCTTTCTTGGTGCTCTTCTTTGTTTTACCGAAATGCCATGAGGGCAAAAGATGTTAGGCAGTTGAGCACATACTACCACACTCCTCCAATAGGATATCATGAGGAGAGGGTTATAACAGACTTATTTCTTTGATATTCAGGTATGGAATTGGCAGTCAGAAGAATATGTCTTTCTACAAGCCCACCAGGAAACAGTGAAAGACTTTAAGCTCTTGAAAAATTCAAAACTGCTTTCCTGGTCATTTGATGGAACAGTGAAGGTAATCTGAAGCACGGGTTGCCTTTTTAAATAAGTATTCTAATATTGTAATGATTATATTTTGAAAGCTGAAAGAAGATGGATGGTAAGTGACTACTCAAATTTTTAGATTTGTTTTCTCATGCCTGTTTTCTTTTTACTGCTGTCACCTACGTCTCCTGTGTATTTATGAGCATCTGTACTAAAGGGCACTTAAAGAGGTCAGAACAACCAGTGTGCTAAAGCTCTTGTTTTATAGATATGTATTCTAGATGATTATGCTCAGTAATACAAAATATTCTTAAAAGTGTCAACTTCTGAATTTTTTTTGAAGGTATGGAGTATTATTACTGGAAGAATAGAAAAAGACTTTGTCTGTCACCAGGATACAGTACTTTCTTGTGATATTTCTCCTGATGCTTCCAAGTTTTCATCTACATCTGCTGATAAGACTGCAAAGGTAGTTCAGTTAGTTGAAATGTGCATGCATATAAAAGTTTGGTATTGGTTATGTATTATGAGTCCAAATGATGTATAAAATAGTTTCTGTCTACATGTCTGTCTCATATTTTGTGAGTTTTTGGAGGATGGCATTGGCATTTAGTTTGTGTCGAATAGATAAATGAATAACGCGAGGGCTTTTGTTCTGCCTTATGACTTTTTGTCTATTACTAATAAAATGTAGTTTCTATTACATATTACATATTATAGGTGATAAAAAGCACTGAAAAGGATTTACATTTAATTGCACATCCACAGTAAATGTTTATGTAATTGGTATAAGTTGATACTTCTGAAAATCACATTCCAGTGAAATGATGCTGCCTGGTTAGGGACATTGACTACTCCATTCTCTTCTTTTTTCTCTTTGTTAATGACCTCATTATCTACCCATCTTTCCAAACTATAAACCTTGGAATTGTGTGGGACTCTATCCTGTCTTTCATGCTCTCTTGATTACTCCTCAGTGTTTTTTGGCTCATTCTCCTCCTCCTTGTCCCCACCCAGAAGATTAGACTCTCCCCCTTCATTGGTGGACCCACCTCTGGTCTGTGCCTCCTCAGTTTTATCTTTCCTACCGTGGTCTGAGTCTCCATTTGAAACACCTCTGTGACCTGGTGGTTTATAAGCCAGACTCCTTTGCCCATGACCATCTCTTTTGCTGCATTGTTCCCTCTGTGCCAGGCTACTTTTACCTCCATCATCTGTGCATGTGTTTTGGCTTGACACAAGCTTCTCCTTTTTTACCTCGAAGCGTTATGACTCATTCTTCCAGACCTAGATTTGATGTCAGCTCTTCAGTGAACCCTTTCCTAGCCCTCAGGCAGGGTGAGCTGCTCTACCTTTAGTGTTCCATTACATATTACTCATGTTTCTTAGACATTTATTTCATATAACTATTCACTTAACAATTCATAAGTCTGTATTCCTGATTAAAGTTTTCAAGGACAGGGACTGTATCCAATTCATCTTTGTACTATCAGTTCCTAGTTCACGATGAGTGGAACATGGTAATTTCAGTAAATTCTTGTTAGATGGTGATGACAGAACCACAAGGGAGAATATTGGAAAGAAAAACAACTGCATTCCAAACATAGTGGAAACAAAAAACGGCTGCTGAGATAGTAGGATAGTATAGTGACTAACCTTTAAAAACACTGGCTGTGTATTAGGCCCTGTGCTAGGAATTTCACTATTATCTCATTTAATCTTCACACCTCAGGTACTGTTGTCCCATTGTACAAGTGCAGAGACTGAAGCTAGAGAAGCTTATGTGGGTTGTGCTAGGCCACAAGGAACTAGGCAGTGTAGGGGAGCCAGGACTCACACTCAAGTTGGCTTCACTCTGTAGACTGCTCTTAACTGATTTGCTATTCTTTCTTGTAAGTCTAAAGTTAAAGAAGCTGTGATTTTGGTCCTTGAGCTGAAGTTAACTTGAGTAATTAAAGGGAAAGTCAGAAAAAAACAGTGTTGCAAGTTGGAACTTGGGCCTCTAATGAAAATTTATGAACTGTTGAATGTTAGAATTTCTATGTGATTGAATTTATGGCTTACTAGCCCTCAGGGCGGGGTTTGCAGGTGCTTATTTTCAGTGTATTTCCTATTCCTAAACAATCCTAATTGCCTTCCAGATTTGGAGTTTTGACCTTCTTTCCCCTCTTTGTGAATTGAGGGGCCACAAAGGTTGTGTGCGCTGCTCTGTCTTCTCTGTGGACAGTACCCTGTTGGCGACTGGAGATGACAATGGAGAAATCCGGGTAGGAGGTTTGCTGACATGAAAGCACTGCTCTTTCTGTAGCTTTGGCTAATGCTTTGTTTCACATTGGGGACCTTTGTTAATGTGACTGGGAAGCACAGGCCCTGGGGTTCTGGTTGGATGAGGCATCATTTGCTTTGTTTCCTGTGCACGTTTTATTCACAGCTGCACTCCTTTGCAGAAAAGAATTCATTTTAGTTAGAGTGAAGTGTATGAGTTAGAGTCTGTGCATGCGATGGGGCAAATGCCCAAGCTATTTGCAGTTGGTTGTCTGCTCTTAGCTTGAGAATGATTCATCGGAATTCTTGGACCTGAACCAAAGGTTGTTTATAGGGGCAGAATTTGAGGAAAATAATTTTACAAATCGTCAACTAGGTTATAAATGAATAAACAGCAAATTCTGCTGTTTTCAGCACTGAAAGAAAAGATCTCTTAATGAAACCATATTCATTAGATAGTCCACATTTACAGTGTGGCCTATTGCTGTCCTCATGGGACTGCCTGCCTCTGGTTGCATTAGAAGGATTCTGCAGTTGATGGGAAAAATTTGGGCATTGGGATGGCTGCGTTAGTAACCAGCATATTTGAGGAGCATCTTGTTTTTTTGTTTTTTCTTTTTTACAAAGGAAGATTTAAAATTCATGAGAGAGTATGCAGTTTGCAGGAATGGAGGCATTATCAGATAGGCTTTCCAGGACAATTAAGATTCTCATGCTTGAGGACTAAGTTACCAACCTTCTCTGTACTAAAAAATGCATGTTAACTGAAGTGGACTGCTTTTGGTTTTGCTCTGAGTTCTCATCTTGGATGAGAATGCTCCTTTACTGGCTATGAAGGAGTATTTCATTTTTCAGAAACCCCTGGGGAAATAAATTCTCTTTCTTTAAATGCATGTTATTTAAAATTTTTTTTAACACATTAAACAAAAATTTTTTCTACCTGATCAAAATGTAGGAAAGCTGTATATATGTGTGTGTATATATGTATCTAGCTTATATCTAGCTATCTTACTGAATTCTTTCTAATGAGTTTCTCCATTTGATTCTCTTGGATTTTCTAGAGAAACATTTATAAATGATGATTTTGGTTATTTTGCCTCTGTATTTCTTTTTCCTATTCTGATGGGCATTTATTTGAGAAATTAGAGTACTATTCATATATTAATTATCACTGGAAATAAATGGAAGCATTAGCATCTGTAAGTAATTGGGTATAGATTATATATATAAAACCCTGTAGGGACTTATTGTTTAAAATATGTTTGAATGACTTTAGGTATTTGAATGATCTCTGTCAGAATTCTTAGTGGTAGATACTGGACTAGAATTCTATGTTTTTTTTTTTTTTTTTTAGGGAGTTTGTTAGGCCTTTGTTTGTTTGTTTATTCCTTGCTTTTCCCATTATTTTCTTTTTATTAAGTGAAAAAAGTCACAATATTCTGACCAGTTTTAAGTTCTCTTATTTTTTGGAGTATGGTTAATGATAAATATTTTTTAGTAATGCATTTTTATTATAATTAGTGTTTTTTTTAAATTTGGACAGGAGAGAATGCAGTCTAAATTCCTAAGGTATCACTGAATTGTAATTATATTTTTAAGAAAGATTTCCAAATATGTTCCAGAAGAGATGGATAGATATATAAAACTTCTGGGTGACCCTGTTAATGCATTGTATATCCTGTTTGTACAGATATGGAATGTCTCAAATGGTGAGCTGCTTCATTTGTGCGCTCCGATTTCAGTAGAAGAAGGAGCTGCTACCCACGGAGGCTGGGTGACTGACCTTTGCTTTTCTCCAGATAGCAAAATGCTTGTCTCTGCTGGAGGATATCTTAAGGTAAGAGTTCCTCAAAGACTGTGAAAGAAAAGAGCAGCCTATATCCTACTTTCCAAGCTATTTTCGCTTCCTGTTTCTCAGTTGGGCCTGCTACAACCCAGCAGAGCGGAAGGGCAGTTACTGTTCCGCTCATCTGGCAGCGATGAGACTGAGGTCTTGAAGGCTGCTTTCCTCCGCTCTCTTGGAAGTTCTGATGGCAGTGTTAGGAATGTTCTCTGTCCAGAGTTCTCATACTGCCCCTTACTTAGATGATCAGAATGACTAGGAAGTTGGGTGTTTAACTTAATTTTATTTTCCACATCACTGATTGTTAACTCTTGGTTGAAAGTCTTTAAAAATGTATTTGTGGAAAAAAATTTATTCATGAAATTTCCTTTCTTAAGTAGTAGTAGCAGCAGCAACATATTGCTTTATTTTATAGCCTACAAAATGCTTTCCTTACGTCGTCTCATTAGCCAGCTTTGTGAAGCTTAAATTTCATTATCCGTGGTTTATAGATGAGGAAACTGATGTTCATGGCGGTTGTGAGTTTCCTAAAGTTACATAGTAAGGTAGTAAGGTGGCTTGTGTAAACTTATTGTTAGAGAACACAGAGGCTAAGGATTGAATGTGTTGTGGTGCCTCAGGGTCATTTTTTGGTGCTTGCATCTATTTATCCATCCACTCAATCAGAATGTGTGAAGTGCCCACCGTGTGCTAAGACACTGCTGTATGGCAGTGTTAAGACTTGGTTTTTGCCTTCCAGTGGCTTACAGTCTGGGGGAAGCAGACAGTAAATAGTCTTTAAAGTATAGGAGGGTTCTGGGACATGTCTGCATAAAGATAATGGAGTTAGCAGAGGCTTCTTAGGGATGGGGACGCTTGAGGTAGAGTGTTTTGAATGGTGGTAAAAGGGATCGAAGATACTATATATATATATATATATATTTTTTTTTTTATGGAGCAATACACCAAATTTATTAATAAAGTGTTAAGTGACAAAAACTCCAGCTGAAAGAAGGAGTGCTATTGGTGGTCAGGAAATTAGTCCTACATGCTTAAGACTCTGCCAGTTATAAAGACTGCAAGGCAAAATACTAAAAGCTATGGATATGAAGAATAAATGAGAAAGCCAGAAAACAAAAGAGAAATTAAGTCAATATACCTAAAAGTGAGTACAGATAAATAGCATTAGGTATAGGGACAAGATTAGTCTATGAAAGACTGTGCATCTAGCTAAATAAGTATTATTTATTTATTTATTTGGTGTAGTGTTCCATGATTCATTGTTTGCATATAACACCCAGTGCTCCATTCAATACATGCCCTCTTTAATACCCATCACCAGGCTAACCCATCCCCCCACCCCCCGAAGATACTATATATTGTACTGACCACTTAAAATAGATCCCTAATAAATTAGATCTTACAGTACTTTTCTTTCTTTCTTTCTTTCTTTTTTTTTTCTTTTTTAAAGATTTTATTTATTTATTTGCGAGAGAGAATGAAAGACAGAGAGCACGAGAGGGAGGAGGGTCAGAGGGAGAAGCAGACTCCCCGCTGAGCAGGGAGCCCGATGTGGGACTCGATCCCGGGACTCCAGGATCATGACCTGAGCCGAAGGCAGTCGCTTAACTGACTGAGCCACCCAGGCGCCCTCTTTTTTTTTTTTTTTTAAGATTTTATTTATTTGAGGGGCGCCTGGGTGGCTCAGTTGGTTAAGCGACTGCCTTCGGCTCAGGTCATGATCCTGGAGTCCCTGGATCGAGTCCCGCATCGGGCTCTCTGCTCGGCAGGGAGCCTGCTTCTCCCTCTGACCCTACTCCCTCTCATGTGCTCTCTCTCTCTCATTCTGTCTCAAATAAATAAATAAAATCTTTAAAAAAAAAAGATTTTATTTATTTGATAGAGAGAGACACAGTGAGAGAAGGAACACAAGCAGGGGGAGTGAGAGAGGGAGAAGCAGGCTTCCCACTGAACAGGGAGCCCGATGCGGGGCTCGATCCCAGGACTCCGGGATCATGACCTGAGCCAAAGGCAGACACTTAACGACTGAGCCACCCAGGCGCCCCAGTACTTTTATTTCTTCCTGAAAACATTCAAGTGTAGGAAATGATTCTGATTAATTATTTAACACAGGATAGATATTCAAAAATATTTGAATGAATGAAGTTTCTGGTTATATGAGACCCACATAATTGCGGTTTTAGTCAGCATAAAAATCTAGCTTATAAAAAAGAGGACAGGGCGCCTGGGTGGCTCAGTCGTTAAGCGTCTGCCTTTGGCTCAGGTCATGATCCCAGGATCCTGGGATCAAGTCCCACATCGGGCTCCCTGCTCTGCAAGAAGCCTGCTTCTCCCTCTCCCATTCCTCCTGCTTGTGTTCCTGCTCTTGCTATCTCTCTCTCTGGCAAATAAATAAAATAAAATCTTTTTTTTTAAAAAAAGGTCAATTTTTAGCTCTATGAGGGGATGTTTGTTATGAACCCTTTCCAAAGAGTTTGCATTGAGAATACAATGCTTTTTATAAAATGTTGCATTGAGCTATACCTTTTTGGGCACACTTTTATTTAATTATGGGCGGGGAGATCGTGAAACTATCACCATTTGTTTTCCTTTAGTGTAAAGATAAACCATGACTCTTAGACTGCTCTGAGGATGATGCTTAGAGGAGCAGGATTGCGGTCTTTCGGTTGAAAGCAGGGAGTCTTGAGCTTCATTAACTGCTGAAAAACTTAACTGCTCAGCTTTGACACTGAGCTTCTAGAGACAATGTTATTTGATGCCCTGGGCCCCATAGAAGTCTATCACATAATTATGAATCTGGCTTACAAGATGTGATAGCCATCAGTGACCAGATTTCCAGAGTTCTTGGAGAACCTTGAAATAAGCAGCAGAATAGGTATCTGTATTGTATGGGTTTATATCTTAAAGGTGTAAGAACCTATAGCCTATACTTCAGTCTGTATGTTTAAGTGACAGGCTTTCTTCCCTCTGGTTTGATTACTAGCATGGTTAAACTGATTATGATATAGCCCAGCCTGCATCTACCCAGCATGTTAATGAGACTATCAAAAGCACAGAACAAATTAAAAGTAATAAGGAACAGCTGCTGTAGTATCCAAAGAAATGGGCCTTTTGAGTCTGTTTACTAAGGAATCTAAGCTGTATAAATTGAATATCAGTAAGGTAAAGTAGATATCCAGTAGCTAAAAAGCTCTTAACTTTCAAAGTTATTTCTATCTATAAAGTTAAAAAGTAATATAATTTCGCTGTTTACTTGTGTTGTGCCATGGAGTACATACTGTTAGAATGACAAACACATTAAACCATACTTATGAGAAGAAAGTCTGATTTGAAATATGGAATACATGGTGATAAATGCAGGTGTCCCATTACTTAGAGGCAACAGAATGTAATGGTCAGGAGAGTGAGTCTTGGGCAGATTGCCTAAGGTCGAAGCCTGGCTCTGCCCCTCATTAGCTTTGTGATTTTACACAAGATTATTTAATCTCTCTATGCCTTGATTTTCTCATCTGTAAAATGGGTATAATAATAACATCTATCTCAGAGTTGGGAGGGTTAAAGGAGTTAATACATGTTAATATACATAGTGTTAAAGGAGTTAATACAGCACCCATAAATAGTGTCACATAGGAGTAAATGTTAACTATTTTAATTCACTTTATTTCTTAGAGCAGTTTTAGGTTCACAGCAAAATTGAGCAAATAGTATAGAGTTCCCATATATCTCCTGCCCTGACACACGCACAGCCTCCCCCATTGTCACCAGAGTATCAATAGAGTGGTACATTTGTTAGAATTGATGAACTTCAATTGGCGCATCATTAGCACCTTAAATTCATAGTTTACATTAGGGTTCACTCTTGGTATTGTTCCTTCTGTGGATTTTTCTTTTTAAGATTTATTTATTTATTTGAAAAAGAGAGCACGTGTGCATGAGTGGGTTAGGAGGGGCAGAGGGAGAGTGAGAGAAAGAATCTCAAGCGACTCCCTGATGACTGTGGAGCCTGACATGGGGCTCAATCCCATGACTCTGAGATCATGACCTGAGCCAAAATCAGGAGTTGGACGTGTAATGGACTGAGCCGTCCAGGCACCCCCATTCTGTGAATTTTGACAAATGTATAATGATATGTGTCCACCATTGTAGTATCATACAGAGTAGTTTCATTGCCCTAAAAATTCCCTGTATTAGCTGCTATTTTTAATGTCATTGTTTTTTAGTCCATATTCAAGTTAGTGGCTGGTATAGTGTTTCCGAGTGGTTTGTTTGAATAGAGGGAAAGGTAGTGGGAGCACTAGATTAGGTACCAGAAACTGTTCCACCTCTGCCACCTGCTAGCAGTATCATCTTGGGCGACGAGGCCTTTCTTCTCTCAGAACCCTGGTTTCCTTATTTGTAAAATGAGACAGTTGAACTAGATGATCTCTAAAGGCCTTACTATCTCTATGATATGCTCTTAGTGACTAAAAACTAATGAGTCTTCTCTTAAGTAGGTGGAATGTGTCCTCTGCAGTCTTGTTTACATTGCTATTTTATAAAGCAAAATTGTCAGTTCTGAAAAATTTCAAGTTAGTACAAGTTGCTTCAGTGAAGTTTACTGAAGTCCATGGGGTATACTTTTATCAGTTACTATTACTGAGTGAACACAAATAGCTGACCCAGTCAACTGCTAGAATGGTAGGCACTGCCCCAGATACCAAAGTGAGTGACACCATTATTTTGTTCATAATACTCTGAATCTCGATGTGCGTTTTCAAAAGGTGGTCATGTACATTGTCTCTTTTGCCCTTATTTTAGCTGTGAGATACATGGGTAAGCTTTATGATCTCCATTTTATAAATGACTATGAACACTGTTGTAATCTTAGCTAATTCAGTTATCGGGAGGAGAAAGGAAAGGATTGGCCAGAGCACCTGCCTAATTTGAGATGTTCGATATTTATTTAGCAAATAAATCTATAGACTGTTTTTTTTTTTAAAGATTTTATTTATTTATTTGAGAGAGAGAGAATGAGAGAGAGAGAGAGCATGAGGGGGGGAGGGTCAGAGGGAGAAGCAGACTCCTCGCTGAGCAAGGAGCCCGATGCGGGACTCGATCCTGGGACTCCAGGATCATGACCTAAGCCGAAGGCAGTCGCTTAACCAACTGAGCCACCCAGGCGCCCTATAGACTGTTTTGTAGAGAAACTTGGTCAACGGCTCTTGAATCATTCCTGGTGAAAAGGAAGATTCAGTAGAGAGAACATTCTATCTGGTAGCCTATAATAGAAAATAGTCTCTGTCTATCAGAATACCAGTCTGTGGGCACCTCAGTGGCTCAGTCGGTAAAGTGGCTGCCTTCAGCTCACGTCATGATCCCAGGGTCCTGGGATCGAGCCCCACGTCGGGCTCCTTGCTCAGTGGGGAGCCTGCTTCTCCCTCTCACTCTGCTGTTCCCCCTGCTTGTGCTCTCTCTCTGTCAAATAAATAAAATCTTAACAACAACAACAAAAATACCAGTTTGTGTCTGTAAAGGGACGTTTTTAAAGAAAAGAGGGGCATTATTCTATCCATCCCAATGAGAAAGACATGCAGGCAGCAGAGTTCAGTGCAGTCATGGCTAGAGTGGACTTGTGCAGCCTTGTGTCTGTAGCTTTCAATAGGCTGCACAATTTCTCAGCATGCCTTGTGGTGGGGCTAGGTGTTCGGTAGCTATGAGGCAGTCACCAGGATTAATCAGGAAGGGCTGACCAGGTTGATTATACTATATTCAGCATTAAACCTTAGACTTTTTTCCCTGCTTTTGCTGAAGTTTGGGAGTGGGGAGGTGATAGGGTGAAGGATTCGGCTGGCACATACAGTTGTCACACAGAGTAATTACTAGTCTAATGAGAATTTTATTTTTCTCTGAACAGTGGTGGAATGTTGTCACTGGGGAGTCCTCACAGACCTTCTACACAAATGGAACCTATCTTAAGAAAATACACGTGTCCCCTGACTTCAAAACATATGTGACTGTTGATAATCTTGGTATATTATATATTTTACAGATGTTAGAATAAAGTAGTTAAGGATTAATGTAAGTTGAACTTTTTAATTTTGAATTGGAAAAAATTCTAGTGAAACTCTGTATTTCGACTTTTTGTAAAGCTGTGAATTGTTTTGCAGTTATTGCATTCATTACAAAAGTGTTTGTGGTTGGATGAATAATGTTAATGTAGCTTTTTCCTAAATGAACGCACCTTTAATCTTGTTTTTCATAATCATCATCATTCTTGTTAACAGTTTGTCCTTAAGGTGCAAATGAAAATGTAAATACGTACCTTATTATACTGTTGGTAAAATTCTCTCATGATGCATTCAAATTGGTTGACATAATTAATGAGAATAATTCGGAGGAAATATGTATTTTAATGCTATTATTAGGCAGGCTGTGCCTCAGGATAGCAGACCTGCTTTCTGAACCACATTTACCCCAAAGGGCATAGTTCTCCCAATTACAATCTTGGGGCTTATTTGTACCCCTTAAATTTGTTTTAAAAATATTATGTCTGCCTGCAATGTTTCTTTTAATTCACTCAGTAAGTGAGTGTTGGATTTCAAAAGTTGTTTGAAGCAAAAGTTCTTGTGAATCAAAAATTATACGTGTTGAAGAGAGTAAATTTTATTGGTTTACCTTTTCCTCATTAGCTGATGGCAGCTCTGTGCTGCAGTGGGACTCTAGTAGTCAGTCTCTGAGTTGGGTGCTGTCCTGCTCGCTCTGGTTTTTTATGTACCAGATTTGTTACTTGACTGAACTTGACCTTTTTAAATCCTCATTTTCTTCTTCTTCTTTTTTTTTTCCTTAAGCAATTGTCCTGCAGTTGAATTTTTGTAAATTAGAGTAATTGGGGAGGAGCCAGTTTTCATTAAAGTTTGAACAGGATTTTTCTAAGAAATATAGTAAAAAAATCCATTTTCTTCTAAGTCTGTTTACTTAGATGAATGGCATTGTCAGTGCTGTTCTCAGTGAATTTCAAGAGAATTCTCTATGGTTTTCTATGCAGTAACAGAAGAGTTATCGTGACTCTGGAAGATGTCACTTTTAACCTACCAGCTGTTCTATTTTCCTTCTCCTTTTCCCTCCTTCTCTCCTTCCTATCCCTTCCTCCCTTCTTCCCTCCAAGGTTAATCAGGAAAGATAGCTCTTGACAGGGAAAAAGTACATCAACATCAGTAACTAGCTTTTTTTTTTAACCTTCTGATTAGGAACTTTAATTGCAGTTTAAATCTCCATTTCCCCTGACAATATATTGTTAAGGGAAATGGCAATAATTTAATAATAGATGTGGTTCATATAAGAAAATAACCAAAATTCAAAAATTTTGCTGCTGCAATAGGAACTAAATCAAATGAGTATTAGTGTTAATAGTAGGTAAGTAGTGAGCCAGTTTCTGTTGTTGGTGTGTATTAGATGTGGTGTAGGTAGGGGGGCCTAGACCACTCCAGATGTATTTTAGATTAAATATACTATTTAGTATTTAAGGGAGCCATAAATAAAATTATTAAGGAGGTTTGGCTTTTGTTTTTTTTATGATGGGTTGAGGAACTAGTTTATAGGCTTACTGTGATTTAAGCAAATGTGATGTGAAAATCTTAATTTTATGAAAAAATTTCTGTAAATGATATATTGTGCTTAGAGTATCCAAATCATAATTTTGATTTGCATACAGTGTTTAGGAACTCATTTATAACTCAGAGTATAAAGTATTAACTTTTGGAATTAAAAGCCACTTGACTGTTAAAGTGTAGAACAAACATCGGCTTTTAAAAAACCTTGATTGGCCCTTGTCTTTAAAATGAAAAATGGGAAGAAAAGGTAACATGACAAAAAGGCAAGGTAAAAAACAAGGTAACTTGAAGTAAGAAGAGAAGCGTAGCATAATGGCGCTGCATGTTTCAAGGCAGCTCAAGTGGTCAGTCAAGGGGGGAGGGTTTTGTTTTATACTTGCAGATGAGCATTTTTCAAGCATTTTCCCTTGCTTTATTTTTTGTAATGGAAATTACATTGCATTTTATATATGTAAAGGTTTTTTTTACATTGTGTGTGTCTTGTATGTTTTGAAAACTGTTTTGTATTTATGATACAGGTCACATGTTTTTGTTTTTTGTTTTTTGCTTTGGTATACATTTTAACACATGAAATAAAAAATTTATAAAAAATAAAATTTCTAAAATATTTTTGAAAAACATTTTCGATTGTTTCAGACTCCTTGCTTGTCCTTTGTTGATTAGAAAACAAATGTGAAAGATTCTTCAAACTAAAAGCTGTCATCCTTTCTATTAATGCTTTATCAACCATGTCTAATTCAATTTTATCAAAATTTTTTCTCCTCAGTTTCTCTCTGATGATTGCTACCTGGTGTGACTGGCATGGTGAAGAACCTGTAAAGAAGAGAATTCATTTATTTATTCTTTCATTCAGTAAATATTTATTGAGATCTACCATGTGCCTGGCATTTTTGTAGGAATTGGGGATAGAAAAGTGAGCCAAACAGTCTTTTTCCTACTGCAGTTTAGGGCCAAGGAGAGGCAGAAAATAAGTAAGTAGAATCTATAGCATATTAGTTGGTATGTTTAAGTGGGGAGGTGAGGGGAGAAGCGTGTACAGTTTTAGATGGAGTTGCTCACTGAGAAGGTGACACTTGAGTACAGACCTGAAAGGTGAGGGAGTGAGTCATCCAGGTATCTGGAGAGATTCCCAAGGGAGAGCGCAGTGAGCGCCAAGACGGGACAGTGGGTGGGTTGCTCTGTTACAGAGCTGGCAAGGAGGCTGGGATGTGGCTGGAGGTGGGTGGGGGGGAATGTTGACAAGAGGTGCATCACCATGCAGGGCCTCCTAGGCTACTGTGTGGACTTTTACTCTGAGATAGGAGATACTGGAGGAGTTTGGGCAGTGGAGTGATCTGACTTAAGCTTTAATTGGTTCCTCTGGCAGTGGGAAATTGAAAATCAGTTGAAAAGGGGGACAGGCAAGGGGGGAAGCAGGGGTACCAGTAAGAAGCTTTTGTAATAATCTGGGCAAAATGAAGGCAACCAGATTAGGATGGCAGCAGTAGGGGTTGTGACAGTTGGATTCTGGATATATATATGTATATATATATTTTAGATTTTATTTATTTATTTGAGAGAGACAGATAGTGACAGAGCTAGCGAGAGAGAGCACAAGCTGGGAGGAGAGGGAGAAGCAGGCTTCCTGCGGAGCAGGGAGCCTGATGTGGGGCTCGATCCCAGGACCCTGGGATCATGACCTGAGCCGAAGGCAGACGCTTAACTGACTGAGTCACCCAGGCGCCCCGGATTCTGGATATATTTTAATGATAAGAGTTAGTAGGATTTGCAGGTGGATTAGATAAATGTTGTGAGAGTGACAAGTTAAGAATGATACCAAGGTTTTGGCCTCTTTGGCTTGAGCTCCTGGAAGATTAGAGTTGCCATTAACTGAGATGAAGATGGTTATGAAAGGAGCAGGGTTTTGGACATAGTAAGTTTGAGATGGCCACTAGACATCCAAGTGGGGATGTTGAGTAGGTGGTTGGATAAAAGGGTCTGGAGTTCATGGGAAAAATCTGCGATGGAGATAAATATCTGAGAATCATTAGTGAATTAAATGTATTTAAACCACAGGATCAGAGGAGATCAGCAGTGAAACAGGTGTTGATAGTCAAGGTTGGAGTCCTACAGAGTCCAGGGCAGTCTCAGGTTGGGAGATGAGGAAGCAGCACAGGAGACTGAGAAGGACCACAAAGAATAAGAAGTGCAGCGTGGTGTGGTAAGTTATAGTGAATGCAGTGGGCGTGGGTCTCTTAACTCGATGTGATTTGGGGCAAAATTTATTGGTTTGTTTGTTCAGCCACCTGCCTGTCTTTCCCATATGGCTTGCATATCTGCATAGTGCCAAGCACTATTTTAAGTAGCAGCCAGGGCAATACATACATTTTAGTTGTGGGGAGAGAACAGTAGATAGTAAGAAAACAAGAAAATATCAGCAATTGTTATCTGTAAAATGGGTATCCGTTCTTCTCATGGTTGTTGTAAAGATTTAATAAGATAATGCTCATGAAGTACTTACCTCAGTGCTTGGGCCGAGAAAGTGCTCAGTGAACATTCCTTGGTGTAATTTGGGTCCCGTCACCTTTGGCCTGGCAACAGTTCCCTGACTGCTGTCTCTGCCACCAGTTGTGTCCCTCTGCTTAATCTTTCCAAAGTGCTCATCTTAATCTTATCATTTCTCTTTAAAACCCTGGACCTGCTGTGTGCTCTCTTGCTTCTGTGTCTTTGTATACGCTCTTCTGTCTTCTATACTGCCCATCTCCTGCCTAATTTTTTCCCCTGATTCCTTTTTATCCTTCATATATTCTTTGAGATAACCCTTCTGCTGAAGGTCTGCCTAGTCCTTTCATAGTGCCCTCTTTTCTCTGCCATGACTTTCAGCGCCCTGTATTGTTTACTTACTGGAGTCGCTCATTAGATCGGAAGCTCCCTGAAGCCAGGTCTATGTCTTTTACACCACAGTCTAACATAAGGCTGGCTCCAGTTAGAGTCTCAATAAATATTTGTTGAATGACTGAAATTCTTGTATGTATGCTTGCATGCCCATAGCGCATTCTCTGTTCTCCCTCTGCACTAGGATATCAGTAGGCTAATTAAGAAGTAGCACATCACCAGCATTTTCTTTATCTTTCTGTTTTAGTTTGGCATTTTACTGTGAAGCATCATTAGAGGAAGGTAAAACTTCACTTGAATAAAAAGATTTGCTTCTAGATTATATGAAATGAATAAACATGTCCCTGAAGTGTTTAAGTTGTCAAGTACGGCAATCTATTATTCAACATTATGTTATTATAATTTACTTACCGACCTTTAGAGGAGGAAATGATTTTCGAATAATTCTTGGTCTCTGAAGATTGTCCCTTGAATAGATTTCCTTGCTCATAACCCCTCCCCTTAAAACTATGGAGATACTATACAGTTATTAAATGCCTGAATTAGAGTATCAGCTGCTGTGAGTTTAACCATAGAATTATTGTGTAGTTGTGTATATTCACGGGGAAGGGGCAGAAAAATGTGCATCAAACGTGGGACTCATCAGAGACCATGTCTTTGAAGTTATTTGGCATCAACAGCATATTATTTCTAAGTCAGATGATATAAGAAGACCAAAACTTGGGAAATTTTCATTTAAATTATGATTCAGGAAAATGAGCTGCTGGTGTTCATTGTAAATTCATTTATGAGGTCAGGCCTTCAGAACTGGGAATACTGCTTTTCACAGAGAAGCAAACAGAAAATGTGCCTCTGTAATTTCCCATCACCCAGGGCTAGAGCAAGTAACTAGAGAGAGCATGCCAGGCCCAAGTTTGGGTGGGGTGGTTCTGAGCAACTGATCAAACTGGAGAACACCCAGTAGCTGAATGAAGCCTCCTGCTTAGTACAAGGTGGCTCTTGTGAGGAGCGGGAGCTCACCTCACCATCCATTCAAATCTTCATTGCCTCCCCACTCGGGACTGCCCAGTCCTTATTCTGTCTTCACAGTACTTGAGTGGATTTACAGACTTTGCAGTCCTAGCTTAGAGAGGAAGAACTACACCCCAGGCAGTTAATCGGTGAGAAAGCCAGTGCCACAGTCCAAATCTGATTTTCTTTTCTTTATAGAGAGACCAGACCCATTGGGCTACAAGTTGAATGTCAGTTTCAATTGGAAGTGGAATCCTCCTGGGTTTATGGCAGATGAACACCAGTCTAGGGGTCAAGGCTTGGGTTTCAACAGCTGGGGAAGATTTTGGAGATCTATGTTTCTCATCTCTGATTCATCTTCAATTAGCAGTGATTCTAAACCCCTCACCTTGTGTTTATTTGCCCCACTCTGCCAAATAACTTTCTGAGATGTAACAAATCCTTTTTAGGAGGAAGGAAGGAGGAGCTATTAGTTTTTAGTTATTTAATTGAATCCTCACAACAAGGCTGCAAGGTATTATCTCTGTTGTCTAGATGTGGAAACTGGTGCAGACAGGTTAAGTCACCAGAGCCCCACAGCAAAGTGATGGAGCTGGGGTTTTGGTCCATGCAGTTGGCTGCCTCACTAAAGGCCCTGGGTGAGAGGATCCAAGAGCATCATTTCAGTTACGCACTTTAATTCGTTATTCATTTCATTCATTCACATCATGTGTCATGACTGATCCTAAGTCCTGAGCTGTCAGAGGTGGTCCCTGCTCTTGAAGAGCTTCTACTTTTGGTATTCTGGTTAGCCCATCTCTGTGCCTGTAGGGATTGTTCTTTGAAGAAAGCAGCACGGTCCATTCTGATAGCCAAATGGATGGCAGAGGTTGGGGGATGTTTTGGGTTTGCCAGCACTTGGCTACTACCCAAAACAGCTACTACCCAGCCTGGTCTCAAGTCTCAGATGATTCAAGCATTGAGCAGGGAAGGTGGCAGCCTTATGGCCTGCCCCCTGGAGATGCTTATTTCTCCTTTGAAACTCTTAGGGGGTTCATTTGAGATTGGCGGCAGCCCTGGGGTTAATGGATCCACGTGCCTTCTTCTGCCACCTGATTTCATATCCTTTTCTCCTTTTCCTTCCATTTGAAATGGTGTAACCTCACAGAGCCTCAGTTTCCTTGTTTGTCAAATAGGGATCACAACACTTGATTGCAGTTTTTTATGAGGCTTGAAAGATGTCAAGCATCCGATACAGGCTCAATAGCATTATTATCTTTTGTTTCAGTTATAAACTTCCATTCCTTTGCTGCCCATGTTTCCATGGTTTACAAAGTGGGAACCTGTGACTTTTGCTTTTTCCGGGCATCCTTTTCTACCTTATGGTAGATCTATCTTCTTGGCTATTAGCTCCCAGGAGTCAGACTTTGTTCAGCAGGAAAGCTGTCATCTGCTTTCTTTTGAGCCGTCTGAAACTTTCCTCTCTTTGGGATATGCATGCACCCATGAGTAATGGAGGATTGGGATTGAGAATGGAGAAAAGACCTTGGGCTTACTGCTTGGGCTGGCACTTGGGAGTATGGTAGAACTCTGGCTTTGGCTGTCAAGTGCATCCAAGTTCAAATCCTGGCTGCACTAATGTCCTAGCTGTGTGACCTTCAGCAAATGTTTTAATCTCAAGGACCTGCTTCCCAGGGCGCCCCTGGTATGGAGACTTATATGTGCTGCCCAACTTCTCAGAGAATCAGGAGGGGTCCTCATCCATCCAGGGGTGAAGCTTCTTACACTTTGTTGCCCCAAAATTATCTGGGAAACTTAAAAACCTCCCTAAACCTGGACCTCATCCCGGGCCAATTAA